TTTTTGTGTGGTGGAAAAATTTTTTTTTTTTTTTTTTTTTTTTTTTTTTTTTGGTACTGGGGATCGAACTTGCATCCTTGCACTTGCAAGGCAGGCCACCGAACTGCTGCGCTAAATCCCCCGCCCCTGGGAGAACATTCTTAAGTCAGATTCTTTCATAAATTGGACACACCTTGGACATTTATATACAATGTATAGTGCTTTTCACTTCCTAGCAGCCCCCTCCACATCACCACTACTTTTCTTCTTGCTTCTAGACACCCTGGGATCTGACTGAGCATTGTACTACTGTACACTATCGCACTGTATGGTAAGCATACAGCAGCACAACTGGGACAATGTCCAGCAGACACATGAGCTGCTATGATTTGTATATATCTGTGAGTGCTTGCAATACAAAATCTGTTCATATCTGTGAACGTTTTCAACTCAAATGTTCATAAGTTGGGGTTATAGTACATGTAATCAGAGCAGAGTCCACCAGAAACACTAATACTGAACTGAAGTTCATGTTCATCAGGCCTGTTTGTTCAGTTGCAGGAATAGCAGCTCTCAGTTGGTTAAGAGCTCCTGTGTATAAGAGTATGGCTGGGAGCTCAGTGCTTTCCATCTTACATCTCAATATATTTTCACAATAAATTTGAAAGTCAGGTATTATTAAACCCATTTTGCTAATAATAAACCTGAGAATTGAAATATCTTCTCCCAGCTCACTGCAAGCAGCAGAACTGCCACTGGAAGCAAGATTTTATGACTAAAACAAGCAGAGTCACTGTGCTGTACTGAGTCCTCTATGACTGATTATGGGCCAAGGTAATTTTATCCTACTCGATAACCCAGACATCACCTCTTCCTGGATTAGTCACTTTTGTATCCTCCTCTTGTCTCTAAGGGAAGGGAAGTTTTCTCTCATCATGTTCCTCCAGTTAGAGATATTTCCACTCTTACACATAATGGAAGGAATGAGGCTCTGAAGTATGTTAAACATTTTATATACATTGCAATCTTGTTTAGTTTTATAGGAACGCAGAACAGGCTTATTATAGATATATTTTTAAAGTGGGAAAATGAAATACAAGCAAGTTATGTTATTCTCTGACTTGTCATTAGTGGGTGAAGTTTAAACCTGGGCCCACTTGATTCCAAGGTCCTTGTTCTTTCTGATACCTCTTCCCACAACAATACTCAGTCCTTAATACTCCCATCCTTAAGGGGGAAACCCTCAATGAATTTGACAGGATTAAGGTACCTACAGTTGGACTTCTCCCTAAAGAGTTGACCCAGAGTCACCAAATATCTAAAGGTTCAATCATCCTAAGGGGATAGGGTCCTCTAAGCTTGTCAGGTTCAATCTGGAAGTGATATTGACTAGAAATAGCCATCTAATTTCCATCCATTTCTTTGCATTCAGGAAGAACTCAATATTTCTATGCTCTTAAATTTCAGTTATCTCAAAGTTGGTACCAGATGAGTGAGGCTTGTACAACTTCTTGCTTTAAAGCAACCTTAGGTATTTGACAGATCTATGGTTTTCTGGGTTTTGCATGTCCCTGGTTAGCCTTTTAGGTCTTCCTTCCTTGCTTCCTTCCTTCCTTCCTTCCTTCCTTCCTTGCTTCCTTCCTTCCTTCCTTCCTTCCTTCCTTCCTTCTTTGCTTTCTCCTGCCCACCCTCACCCCACTGTGAACTAGCTACCAACTTCCTGCCTCTTGGCTCTAGCCCTGTTTTTGTTTCCCTTTTATGGATGTTCATCAACAAAATCATTGACTAACAAGATTCTTTGATGTTCCTGGATATTTGAGGATGTGAGTTGTTATGTAGCTTGCCTCTTATGGGCAGGTGCTGGCTGTTTGGTTTGGTGTAGTCATGGTTTAACTTGTCCATCAGTAACAGCTACTGAGAGACTTTTCAGTTCTAAAATCAGACCAAGTTTGAGTTGAAGCCATGTCTATGTTGGTTGAACAGTTGCAGTAATCACTTATTGTCAACATGGAGGACTTGGTTTTCCTCTACATGCTAGAGACAGAGCCAAGAGCAAGGAGGACAAAGTCCACACTCCAACCAAATCCAATCTCAGTGGAAAAAAGAAAAAATAAGAAAATATGCATGGTAATTTCAACTTGTGATAATTTCAATAAATAAAGTAAATAAAATCATGTGATATAAGAAGGCACAGAATTTATTAGTTTAGGCAGGTGATGATGGGAGGTGTCTCTGATGAGTAGCTTTCTAAGCTGACTTGAATAATGAGGAAGCAGAGTAGGTAAGAACATTCTAGACAGAAGGAGTGGAGTCATAAGGCTTTCAGACTGGAGTAAGTTTGAGATGCTCAAGGGCTAGGAACATGTTAGTGTGATAACCATCCACTGAGCACCAGGCATTGCACTGTGCACCTCCAACTGTTATCTCATTTTAGTCCTTTGCAAGGCAGTTGAGATATTATCATATCTTTAATTTTTCAGTACTTAGGTTGAACACAGGACTATCACACTGAACAATACCCCATTGTTTCATTTTTTATTTTGAGATAGGGTCTCACTAAGTCACTAAGTTTCCCAGGCTGGGCTCAAACTTGAGATCTTCTTGCCTTAGCCTCCCAGTATACTACAATTACAGGTGTGCACCACCACGCCTGGCTTATTGTTTTTACTCTCCAGGTAGATCTTCAGTCGTATCAGCAGTTGGGATTCTCTTACTTCCATGATGGCAGCCAAAGAAGTGAATTTCAATTGTTTTCAAATTTGTGAATGGGTGCTAGTAGCATTTAGCAAACTGAAACTGGAAAGGAAAAATGTGCTGCTATAAGTAAATGGCCCATAATGAATTGTCCTTCAGATCATGTGACTTAAAATGTCTTATAGATGATGTTTTCTTAAGTGAAGAACTTTTTAAATAATGTGCAAAATTTAACTAGAATCCCATTTTACATACAAATATGGAACATATACAAATGCAGTCACCTACTAAAGGGAAACGATTATACTCTGTTTGGAACTTTATCAAGAGATGTTCTCCATTTCAGCAAACAAATCATCGACTATAATGCTCCTGAGGGTATTTGACTCACTGGAATGCCACACTTGCATCAATCTGAATTTTACCTGTCATGTACAAATACATAACACAAGACTCAACATTCCTTTCAATAGATTTAGAATCCACTGCATTGAACTTTATGAATAAAGGTTGTCTTAAAATATTTCATATAATCACACTAAACCAACAAATTTAGCACTTTGATAAGAAATCCATAATGTGAAAATTATAAAATCAAAGGAACTTTATTTATTTTGCAGTATTCTGGTACCATTACTAGAGACCTTTATGGAACTTCTGAGTGGCCATCTCTCTCTCTCTCTCTCTCTCTCTCTCTCTCAGCTTTCAATCTTCTTCCTGTTGTCTATTCCAGTTCCCAGAATCTTTTGAAGTACTATATGGTTTAGATGCACACTGAGGGTTTTAAGAAAAGAGATACTACCCTGTCCCATGGAAAGGCATATGCATGTATTTTTAGAGACCTCACATTTATAAAAAGCCCTAACTTTTGGTCATGGATCTCATGTTCCTCATGTCTCAACTTTGATGTTGCATAATTTTTTGTGTGTGTTTTCCCAACTCAAAGTGGACCCTTTCTCTTCTTTCCATGAATAAATTCAGTCTGTTACTACTTTTCTACCACTAGCCTTTATTCTAGCATACTCCACATCTTGTTCTTTCACTTTTTTGTACTTCTTGTATAGAAAATCTCACGTCTCTTATATTCTAATTTATTCATTGTAGATAAGTGTAAACAACTGATATTTAAGGGACTTCTGATGTAACCCAGCCCAAGCAAAGGCTTTCAATACATGTTAATTTATTTTCATTGCTTTTCTTTCATTTCATCTTTTATGGTAGCTAAGGCTTAGCACTAAAAATCTTGTGTCTCAGAAAATCTCTCAGTCCCAGGCAAACTGAGACTATTGGACATAGTAGATAGTGTGCTTTTTCCCCCTGAAATTATATGTGTTGGTAGTTTATATTATGCATTTACTTTTTATGCATTGATTTCATGTTAATAAAAGAAGTGCTGCAGAATATTTTGTTCAAAGAATGGAGAATTGAGTCTGATGGAGTTGGAGATGCACCTGGAGAGAGGACCTGACTCATGGAGTGACTTAAGAATAAAGATCTGTTTCCACAGGCTTTTCCAAAATGGGGAACACCCAGTGCTGAGCCACAGTCCTTCCTGCTGGGCTAGTATGCTGGGGTGGGCATTTGACATCTATATCCCTAGCCCTGCCAGCCTTCAGGGCACATGTCCAGATTTTTCCCCCCAGAGAAAATCTGTTTTTGCTGCTCTCTCATCCCCTTTGACACTTTTATCCTCATGATCCCTATGTCCTCATGTTGTAAACTGTTCCCCAACAGTCTAGAAGGTAGAAGTTTGGGCTCTGGCTTCAGAAAGACTTGGACTCTACTTCCTGTTCTGACATAATCTTTCTGTGTCTATGCTTTTTTCACAGAATGAAGATGATAACAGTATATCTGACTTCTCAAGTTAATGTGAAGAATAAATAGAAGAAATGGGTCATGTCATTCATCCTTAGCACATAGGAGAGATCTAAGAAAGTTTATTTATCATTGTTCCTAAGCCTACTTGGTTCTACCCTTCCCAGCAGTTACTTTTTGTGCATGTGTGCTTAAAAAATACTTTAATTACAGATCTAATGCACAAAGCACTGAAAGGCCAAAATCAATGGCTATAGAACATCATAGCATGTTCCAGGTTTTTTGCCTTCCTTTATCACAGCAAAGGAAAACATAATGCCTCATAGAGGCCGCACCCTTTGTAAGAGTCTTGCAAAACAAAGACAAGCTTCAATCAAATGTGCTGTCACAACAAATGCAACAACAGCTTCATTGCCCCACTTTCCAAGCCTATTAAATTTATTTCTTCATTTTTGTAGTAACTTATGATTCAAAATTACTTATTTGTGGTTTCTAAACCTCTCTCCCTTGAGTTGCTGCTTCCACACGGTTAGCAGGAAAGCATTCTGCTCAGGGAAGCAATTCCACAGCCGGGAGTGGCTGGTAGACCAGTTTTTAGCAAGCTGTCTGCCCTTAATGTTTTAAATAACTTTTATTGGTACAATTTAAATGTACATAACAATCATCTTCATCAAAAGAATTTTGTATCTGTGCATGATACATCTCTATTTGATTCTTCTTTTACTCCCAATCTCCTCCCTCCTATTTAAAAAAGATGTATTTCTATTTTTTCCTTCTTTTTTGCTTTTTCCTGTTTTTTTTCCTTTTCCCTCTCCTCCTTCACAGGTTCCCCTTCCCTTCGAACAGTTTCTTCCTATTTTATAATCTCTATTACACATTTTATGTATTTATTTGTTTATTTCTTTATTTTGGTACTGGGGATTAAATTCAGGTCCTTGCACTTGAGAGGCAGGTGATGGCACCACTGCACTAAATCCCTGGCTGTCTAGTGTACATTTTTGTCCTTATGTACCCTTTCAAATTCTCAC